TTGACAGACTAGACTCCACCCCTATAACCTATTTAACGAGTTGACATGAAATGATGTAACGACCACAAAGGGTGAGGAGGACAGTTGGGATGGAATCAAGAGTCTGAGTCTCGATCCCCCAAAGGAAGCTTGACGGCCCCAATCCAGGGCTTGGTACCTTGTGTGCTGATAAGAAACCGTGGAAGAAGTTTGAGCAGGGGGAGGAAGCCCGGTCAGATCTGGGCTCGGGAAAGAGATGTAGAGCAAGGCCCTCCTTTGGCTGCATCTAGGTGTTCACAGCCACCGAGGGCAGGACCCACATTGAGCAGCGGTCCGAATGCAGCAGCTTTGTCATCGAGAGTGCTGAGCGATCGGACGAGGGCCGCTATACCATCAAGGTCACCAACCCTGTTGGCGAGGACGTAGCCTCCATCTTCTTGCGTGTTGTGGGTGAGCAAAGGCGGCTGGGAGAACGGGGCCAGGGGTGCGGTGGGGCGGTCCCCAGAGGCTACGGGGAGGTCCCTAACTGCTTGGCTTCTTCCCAGATGTCCCAGACCCCCCAGAGGCTGTGCGGGTCACCTCAGTTGGAGAGGATTGGGCCATTCTGGTCTGGGAGCCACCCAAGTACGATGGTGGACAGCCGGTCACCGGTGAGTGTTCATAAGCCAGTGTCCCCGTAACCTCTGACCTCTCTCACCCCCTAATGCTTCCTTTACCTCCCAGGTTCCTTAAGGTCTCCAATGTCCCTCCTGTGAAACCCTAGCTTTTCGTCTTTGATGCCCCACAGTTTATTTTCGTCTTTCCCCATGATTTTTTTTTTTTAATCCCCAGTGAGAATTTTTGCTTTGGCTGATGACCTGAGATTTCCTTCTTTGGGGTGATTCATGAATCCTTTGGAACCGTCATCCCATGAAGGGTGACCTCGAACTGCTCTGTGACCCCTGAGATTAACCCTGGGTCGTGGGACTCTCTTTGATGTGACACCGACTCAATGGGTCTGTCGCCCCCCGTGACCACCCTCTCTCTCCCTCTGTGTTTGGGGAGCCTCCAGGATACCTTATGGAGCGGAAGAAGAAGGGCTCTCAGCGCTGGATGAAGCTGAACTTTGAGGTCTTTACGGAGACGACTTATGAGTCGACCAAGATGATTGAAGGCGTTCTCTATGAGATGCGCGTCTTCGCCGTCAACGCCATTGGGGTCTCGCAGCCCAGCATCAACACCAAACCCTTTATGCCCATTGGTAAGGCCTCTCCGACCTTCTATCGGTCCCTGACCTCCCCCCTCCTGCCCACCACTGTCCTTTGACCCACGCTGATCTCAGACTCAACAGTCTCTGCTGATTTCTGTTGCCTGTCCTCCACCCATTCCCCTCAGTCCCTCCCCGACCCTACACATTCACCGTTGTGACCGTGGATGGGATGCAGGCACCTGCAGTCTCCGCTGACCCACCCGAGGAAGGCCTGCCCCTCATCTTGGAGCCCTCGCGGTCCCCGAGGTGTTGCCTCATGGTCCCCGAGGTGTTGCCGTTTTAACGAACGACCCTCGACAACACGTCGTTGCTCGCTGACCTTCGTTACACCGTTGGATCCCTTTCCCGAGCCCTGACCTCTCATGGACCCCCACATCCCACTTTCCTCCGGTGTTGGTTTGTTTTGTAATAGCACCCACGAGTGAACCTCTGCACCTGATGGTGGAGGACGTGACTGATACCACCACCACGCTCAAGTGGAGGCCTCCGGACAGGATCGGGGCAGGCGGCATTGATGGGTACCTGGTGGAGTACTGCCTGGAGGAATGTGAGTGACCCCATCAGGCCCAGTGCCTCTCCCAAAGCCCTTTCGGTGTCCCGCTTCAGGGGAGCTGAAGATGGGGACGTTAGGGAGAGAGAAAGAATTAAGAATTCATTGGGGCTCCCATTGTTCTGCGCTGTGCTTGCACAAAACCCTCCCAAGGTTGGGTGAAGCCAAGCATCCGATGACCAGTTCTTTCCTTTCTCTTCCTTCCTTCCCTAAACCATTCTCCATCCAACATCTTTCCTTTCTTTTTCTATTTCTCTACTCCCCCTACGTCAGTGGCTCTCAACCTTCCCCATGCCGCGACCCTTTAAGACAGGTCCTCATGTGGTGGTGACCCCCCCAACCATAACATTATTTTCATTGCTACTTCATCGCTGTCATTTTGCTACTGTGATAAATTGGGGGACCCCTGTGAAAGGGTCATTCAACCCCAAAGGGGTCACGACCCACTGGTTGAGAACCACTGCTCTATGTCTTTCTTATATTAATGTATCCATCCGTCCATCCATCCATCCATCTATGTTTCCTTTTTTGTGCCTTCCTTCTCTCCATTTCTCCAGCCACTCACCAACCCCTCCACCTGTATTTCCTTTTCCTCCTCTTTGTTTCTTCCTTCCTTCCTTTCCTTCCTACAGTCATTTGCCTACTAGTCATCCCTCCATCCATCTTTCTATTCATCTGAAAAAAAATTTGGATGATCTCACCATCTATCCATCTAGTAACTTTTTTCTTCTCCCACATACCTATCTTCTACTAGCATTTGTCCTCCATCCTTATTCCATCTATTCTGCCACACGACTATCTAATCATCTATTCAAAGCTCTTTGTCAGTCCGTCCATCCGCCCATCCATCCATCCATCCATCCATCCATCCATCCATCCATCCATCCATCCCCTCCACTTCTCTGTTTCCTACTAGCAAACATTGAGCATAACTCCCTGCTAGGCCCAATGCCACAGCTTTGGAGGCATGCCCAACCACACCCATCTCTCCTGGAAAGACAGACCTGCACACGGATCACCTCCGCATGGTATACCAGGCTTCAAAGTCAGACAGACGTGGGTTCGAAACCTGTCCCTGAACTTTCTACCCGTGTGACCTCGGGCAAGTCGCTGCGCCTCCATTTCTTCCTCTGCACATGGCGAGGACCAATTCCATCTCGGTCAGTGACGAAGACGCTCGGTCACGCAAGCGCACGAATGGATGGTGGGACCCTTGCCAGCTTCCTCCCTCTCTCTCTTCCCAGAGATCTTGACCTCCTTCCTGTCTACTTTTGCCAGACCCACCCCGATGATTTAAAACCAAGCTCACGCGAGCTGGGTCTGCTGACTGTTGGTAGGACTCCCAGGGCTTCTCCAATCCCGTGGGGTCAAGCCGCGATAGAAAGGACATCTCAAGACATCATCAAGAAGCAGGACATTCGTTCAGGTGTCCCTAACCCTAACCCAGACACACCTCCAACCCCAGCCCCCTCCTCTCCTGGCCATGTCCCTGTCCCTCCATCCCAGCTTTGGCGGGAGAGCAGAGCACAAGAGCTTTCTAGAATCAGACAGGGTCTGGATTGCCCTCCTCATTCAACACTTCCTACCTGTCGGACTTTGGCAAGACCCTTAATCTCTCTGGACCTCAAATGAATGAGGAATTCCGTAAGGTGGAGGGGAGAGAGAACCCGGATGTATCATGCATGCTCATGAATGTGAGCTGCTGCGCTGGGCGCTGTGGGATGGGGATGAGGTGGGGGGTCGCCGTGGAGGGTCGTCAGCTCCCCTAGCCCTGCTCCTCCTTTGCACAGCTGAGGAATGGCTGCCCGCTAACACGGAGCCCGTGGAGCGGTGCGGCTTCACCGTCAAGGATCTGCCCACAGGAGCAAGAGTTATCTTCCGGGTCGTGGGGGTCAACATCGCAGGGCGCAGTGAGCCGGCCACCCTGACCCAGCCGGTCACCATCCGGGAGATTGTGGGTGAGTGAGTGATCCCTGAGAGCCTAAGGCAGCGGTTCTCAACCTGTGGGTCACGACCCTTTGGGGGTCGAACGACCCTTTCATAGGGATCGCCTAAGACCGTAACCTGTTTCTGATGGTCTTAGGAACCAGCACCGCTCCTCTATCCGTCTCCAGGGGGTCCGCCCACATGCAGGTACCCCCACCTGCTAGTCCCGGTGTGAAGACTGTGACCCATGCTACACCGTGCTCCAAGACAACATTTCGTTGATTTGTCATTAGAAATAAATATTTCACCATCTATAATGATGTATTGTTTGGGGGACGAACCACTCTGTTTTCATGACGTTCAATTTGTAACCATGAAAATACATCCTGTCGGTCAGCTATTGACAGGACCATTCATCCCAGGAGCAACATGACAGTGATGAAGTAGCCACGAACATCATTTTATGGTGGGGGGGGAGGTCCCCACCACAGGAGGACCTGTCTTTAAAGGGTGGCGGCCAGAGGAAGGTGGAGAACCACTGTCCCAAAGAGATCAAATGGGGATGCCTGCGACCTGCCCTTTACCAGGGGCCATCACGAGGGTGGACACCTCAGCCCCGGGGATCTTCCTAGCTCTAAAGTGTCCCTTCCATCCAGCGCTGACCCCCCTACCCCCCGCTGTGTGTATTCTCAGAGCAACCCAAGATCCGCCTCCCGCGCCACCTGCGCCAGACCTACATCCGCAAAGTGGGGGAACAGCTCAACCTCCTCATCCCCTTCCAGGTAAGGGCGGCTGGGGAGGGGACGAGGTGGGACCTTCAGGTGGGACACTCCCCCCCTCCCCCGTGTGGGTGGGTGCAGAAGGGGCTGGGCCGACCTCCCACCGCCCTTCCCGCAGGGGAAGCCGCGGCCCCAGGTGGTGTGGACCAAGGGCGGGGCCCCGCTGGACGCCTCGCGCGTGCACGTGCGGACCAGTGACGTGGACACGGTGCTGTTCGTGCGCCAGGCGGCGCGCTCCGACTCCGGGGAGTACGAGCTCAGCGTGCAGATCGAGAACATGCAGGACACGGCCACCATCCGCATCCGGGTCGTGGGTGCGCGGGGGCGGGGCCGGAAGGGGCGGGGCCGGAAGGGGCGGGGCCCCAGGGAGGTGGAGACCCTGCAGTGGAGTGAGCAAGGGCGAAGACCACGTGGGGCAGTGGGAGGCGAAGGTGGGGCAAGATGAGGGGTGATCCAGACGGGAGAGAATGATCGAGGCGCGAGAATGGACGAGGGGGGACCCAGGGAGGAAAGGAGAGTGTGGAGAAGGCGTGAAAGAGAGGAGCCTGGGGGAGAGGGGAGGGGAGAAAAAGAAGAGAAATTGCTGTGAGATGAAGCGAGGGGCCAGGCAAGGGGAGACAGGGTGTGTGTGGGGAGAGGGGGTGAGGAAGGTGAGGAAGAGTGGGGCTGGGGGGGAGGCGAGCACGGACAGGTATGGGGACGGTGTTAGTCTGGGTGGACTAGAGTAACAAATTCATGGACCCATAAGCACATAACGAAGAGGTTTCTATACAAGAGCAGTTGAGTATTGAGCAAACATCCCAGCCCAGTCCAGATCAAGTCCGAAAGTCCGATATTAGCCCATATGTCCGATACCAATCTACAAAGTCCTCTTCAGACCACGAAACACATGCAATGACCCCGAATGCAGGAAGGTCACAGGCCAGTGGGTGCAAAGTCTCCTGGATCCAGTGACAGGGGAAGCATCTCAGTGTTGACAGGGGTCTGTCTCCACGTGGCTCCTCCAGTTCCCAGGGCATGGGCTATACCAGCACAGCACCATGTGTCTGGTCAGTAGAGCATCTCTCAGGGAATGAGCAGAGAGAGAGTGTGTGGCTCTCACCTCCAAGGAGGAAGATAGGAGTTCCCAGAATCCTTAGGAGAAGGCCATGCCCATATAGAGGCCTCATTGGCTAAGACCTGGTTGACAGACTAGACTCCACCCCTTCACTCTGAATCCTCTCAAGTCCCAAATTGACACCAGATTATGTAACTACCACAGGTACAGGAGTTTTGGGCCATGTACAGGGACTCTGGGGGGCTGGCATGTGACTCTCCTCCTCCCCCCCTTCAGAAAAGGCAGGGCCAGCAGAGAATGTGATGGTGAAGGAAGTGTGGGGCACCAACGCCCTGGTGGAGTGGCAGCCCCCCAAAGACAACGGGAACAGTGAGGTCACGGGCTATTTCATCCAGAAAGCCGACAAGAAAACCATGGTAAGGAGACAGGAGGGTGGAGGGGGGCTGGGCTGGGGGCAAGAAGCGCTGGTGTGACATCGCCCCTGTTTTACAGCTGGGGGTGTATGTGCATCGAGGCTCCAAGGGAGTGGGAGAACGGGTGTCCGCGCGGTGTGGGAAGCCAGTTATTTGACTGAGGTCGAGGGCCTGTTGGGTTCACGTCATCATTGTTGTTGAATTGGGGCAAAAGTCACATGACAGAACGAACTGTGCCTTCCAAAAGCAAGGGGACCCTTCAGTGACATTTACCACGTTCACAGTGTGCTGCAATCGCCACCCGTATCTAGTTTCCGAGCGGTTTTCATCATCCCCCAAGGAAACGCGAGAGCCCTTCACTCAGCTGTTCCCCATCACCTTTTTTCCCCCAAGCTCCAGGCAACCACTAATCTCCTTGCTGGCGCTATGGATTTCCCCATCTCAGATTTCCACCTCCACGGAACCACACAGCGTTTGTCCTGGGGTGGCTGGCTGGGCTCTGGTGGTGCCATAGTTTAAGCATTGCGCTGCCAATCCCAAGGTCAGTGGTTCAAAGCCACCAGCCTCTCCAAGCTTTCTGCTCCTGTAAAGATGGGTAGTGTCAGAAACCCCCGGTGAGCAGCTCTACCTTGCCCTGTTGGGTTGGTTGCTATGGCATTGACCTGACAGCACCGAGCTCTTGCATTCAGCCTGTTTCTGAGGTTCATGTGTCATCAGTCAGAACTTCCGTTCTCTTCATGACTGAACACGACTCCACTGTGTGGGTGCCACCTCGTCCTGTGACTCCACGCAACGGTTGGGTTGTTTCCAACGTGGACGGCAGGAAACAGTACTGCCACGAACCATCCATTTTCTTTTGTTTTACAATTTAGTTTTGTTGTGAGGAGATGAGGTCAGAGCATGGAAACCTCAGTGACAGTGATTTTATTCAAGTTTATCCTTGGATTACATTCAGTACTCAGTGACATTGATAAGGTGTGCAAACATTTTTTTAATTTCTTCTTTACAAACAAGTTTTGTAACCTTTTTTTTTTTTCCCCAATACACACCTTCTGTGGATTAAAAAAACCCAACATTTTATTAGGGGCTCATACAACTGTTATCGCAATCCATACACACATCAATTGTGTGAAGCGCATTTGTACATCATTCTCAAAACATTTTCTCTCCACTTAAACCCCCGACATTAGGTCCTCATTTTCCCCCTCCCTCCCCGCTCCCCCCTCCCTCATGAGCCCTTGATAATTTATAAATGGGTATTTTGTCATATCTTGCCCTGTCCGACGTCTCCCTTCACCCACTTTTTGGTTGTCTGTCCCCCAGGGAGGAGGTCACATATAGTTCCTTGTAATTGGTTCTTAACCTTCTTTTCGGAGTGGTTCATTTTTCGTACAAACTCGTTGCCCTCCAAGGTCTCTAACCAACCTTTTAAATGACTCTTCTCATCAGTTTACTCCCTGGTAGATCTTAAAAGGGCATAATGCTCAAGGCACGTGCTTGTGATTAGTTACAGGACATCCTTGCGAGGTTTAAGGGGGAATTCTGTGGATGTTTTTGGTGCGAGGCTTAACAGCGATCTCAGGGCAGGAGTTTGGATCCCGAATGTCTGGGTCCTACGAGAGTTTGAAATTCTGTTCTGCCTTTGCCCTTTTTGGATAAGAACTCTCTGGTAGAATCTTTGATAGAAATGGAGGCATTTGCTTAAGGTGGGGCACACTTGATGTCCCTGGCCCTTCTTGTGTCCCGTCCACTTGGATGTGCGCACCCCCTCGTGCCCACTTCTCTCCATCCCCGCTCTAGGAGTGGTTCAATGTTTATGAACACAGCCGCCCCACCTCCTGTACTGTGTCCGATCTTATCGTGGGCAACGAGTATTATTTCCGAGTCTTCAGCGAGAATATCTGTGGGCTCAGTGACTCACCCGGTATCTCGAAGAACACAGCCCGGATCCTCAAGACAGGTATGGCTGCTGCCCCCCACGGGGGTCCAACCCTGAACCCCCCGAACCCCCCCCCCCCCCCGGCCCCCCACCCGGACTCACTGTCGGTGGTATTTGGTGTCAGAGGAGAGGGGGTGATGCTTGCTCCCTGGCTAGGAGGTCATTCTGGGAGCTCAGTCCCCTTACCGGCAATGATCTTCTCACCCAGGACTCACCTACAAACCGCTTGAGTATCAAGAGCATGACTTCCGAACAGCCCCCAAGTTCTTGACGCCTCTCCTAGACCGGGTGGTTGTGGCCGGATACACGGCTGCTCTCAACTGTGCCGTCCGAGGCCACCCCAAGGTACCAGGCTGGGGCCTCCAGGCCCACGGGCATGTGTGCGTGCGTGCGTGCATGTGCAGACGCTTGGGAGGAAATCTTCTGTAAGATAAAACCTCCTTCCCTGGCATGCCTGCAATCCTCACCCCCGGGTTCTCCATTTCGCGGGGCTTCTAAACCCATTTCTGACGCTTAAGGTCCCACTTGCAACACCAGCACTGCACCACTCTCTCTCCTCCTCTGGCTTGAGGCCCACTTTCCAGCTTCCTGTTTCTCTCTCCCTGGCTCTCAGAGATCACCCTGGCGGCCCACCTTGTTTTCCCTCTGCCCTGTGACTGCCAGGGGGCCATCTGTCTTGGCAGCTTGAGGACATGGCCACCCAGGCACATCTTCTCCAAGGACGACATCAGAACCCTAGGCAGAGGTTGAAAATCCGATGGCTCCCAGAGGGGTCTCCCTGCTCCATCCATTGCCAGACTGATGGGGGGACTGTGAACCCTTACATCCCGAGTTATACAGGCATTCAGCTAGATCAGGGGTTGGCAATGTATTGGCTGTGGGCCCCTTGCTTTTCTGAATGGGATTTTATTGAGACACCGCGATGGCCATTCCTGTGTGTCACAGTGGCAGAATCAAATAGTTGCCACAGAGACCACGTGCCCCACGGAGCCAAAACAATTTACTATCACCCGGCCCTTTAGGGAGAAAGTTTGCCAGCCTCTGATCTGGACCTCAGGTGTTTACCTTCAGCCCCCCTTAGGCACACCACGGCTTCATTAATTCACCTGGCCTATCCGTTCATGTTTTACTAACTCGACTCTCTCAGTCATTGCACTTGCTCAAGTGTCAATCCACTTACTGGTTCACTTCACACACACACACACACACACACACACACACACACACACACACACACACACACACAGACACCATTTGCTCCTCTGCCTCCTTCACTCATGGAGGTTTTCTCTGTGCTGGGTAGGCCAGGCAAGAAGTCCCTGTATGTTGTGGGGAGACTGACCTTGACCGGGTCACACAAACGAAAAGGCTAGACATTATGGTACGTCTGGCCGAGACGTACAAGCAGCTGCCAGTGTCCAACACATGGTCCCACTGCTGGGCTGGAGACCCCCTGGGTAGTGCCAGCGCCCGAGGGGGCTGGGCTGCTAACTGAAAGTCTGGACATTGGAGCCCACCCAGAGAACTCAGCAGACGCGCTCAGCAGCCCCCTGTCTGGAAAACAGCAAAACAAAGCCCACCACACCCAGCCATTTCCAACCCCACGGAAGGCAGTTCTACTCTGACCAGCTGGGGTCACCACCCTTTAGAATGGACTCTGGGGCAATGGGTTCCTGTCCCCGAGGTGGGGGTCAAGGAGTGACGTGTGAGCCGAAACCTGGTATTGATTCGGTAACGAGAGAAGGGGAGGGCAGGACTGAAACCTGGAACCACTCGCACCAAGGTCCTCGGATGGGAGCCTCAGCCTCTTGTGGCCTCTCTGGGGTGTGGGTGGAGTGGGGGAGGGGTGCGGTGACCCCCCGGCGTCTGCGCGTGTGCGCCTCTTTCGGCCCGTACGAGTGGCTCTGCAGTCAAATCGAATGGTGACTTCATTTGTTTATAAACATAGCTGTCTGAGCCTGATGATGACAACAAGTACAAATGTGCTTGACACAATGGATGGGTGCATGGATTGTGATAAGAGTTGTACGAGCCCCAAGAAAATGATTAAAAAGAAGAACCCCCACCAAAGGGGTGGGGGAAGCTTGTCAAGCGAAATCAAAGATCCAAATATATATGTATAGCTTTATGGGGGTGGGGTGGGGAGGGGATAAAAGAGGAGCTGATACCAAGGGCTCAATAGAAAGTAACTGTCTAGAAAAGAATGAAGGCAACAGATGTACAAACATGCCTGATACAATGGCTTGTTATAAGAGCCGTAAGAGCCCCCAGTACAATCTTTTAATAAATGTTTTAAAAAGATCCATATATATATATATATATGTATAATTTTAATTGCTGTGAGGGACAGGATTGGCTCTTCTGCCTCAAAAGTTTGCCCCCCTCTGGAGCAGAGGGAGGGGGCGAGGCAGGTGAGAAGTGGGGACAGAGACATTATGGGGGTGACATTGTATAAGACCCTACGGGCCACAGACGTGAGCTCTTCATTCGGAGAGCCATGCTGTTTGTGGTCGGGTGTTGGAAGTTGATTCTAACACCAGGTGGGAGAGTAGAATGGCCCAGGAGAGGTGGTGGATTTGGGGTTTTTTTGGCTGAAAGATTACCAGGGAATTCCTAAGTCTTTTCTCCTGGAGCCTCGGAGACTAGCGGCCAGAGCTCTTATGAGCCCTGAGGGACAGGAATGTCACCTGCTTTAGGAGGCTGAGGCTCAGAGAGGAGAAGTGACTGGTTCTAGACAGACCAGTGTTCCCCAAAGTGGGTGATCCCGCCCCTCCCCGATGGGCACTGGAAGGATCCTGGGAGGCTGCAGAAGCAGATACCTCCACTTCATCCGGATGCTGGGCTATAATACCAACCTTTATAAATTGACCGTGGGACGCTGTCCATGAAAAAAAAATTTTTTTAATTAAATTAAAATTTTAATTTAATTAGCAAAAAATTTCCCCCCTGAAAAGGGGCCGGTAGGTCAAATGAGTTTGGGAACCTGTGTCCTAGGATCTCCCACCCCCCTCCTTGTGGCACCACCCGGAGGACCCTCTTGAAGCCGTGCCTCCTCTTCTGTTCTGAACAGCCAAAGGTGGTGTGGATGAAGAACAAGATGGAGATCCGCGAAGACCCCAAGTTCCTCATCACCAATCACCAGGGCGTGCTCACGCTCAACATCCGCCGCCCCTCTCCCTTCGACGCGGGCACCTACTCCTGCCGGGCCGTCAACGAGCTGGGGGAGGCGCTGGCTGAGTGCCGGCTGGATGTGCGAGGTGAGGATGCACCTGAGCACCCTGCCGGGCTGACCACGCCCCTCACCCCCACCCCAGGCCCTTGCCCAACAAGAGCCTGAGGTCCCACTGCTGGCTGACTGGGTGCTAAGACCAGAGGGGAGTCCCGTCCTGGGCCCTCCAGCTGGGAAACTGCATTCAGACACAAGCAGGACCCAGGCAGGGGCGTCAGTGCTGGGATGAAGGCGCCCCAGGGCGTGATGGGAGCCAGGGCTAGGGACCTTGGGGAGCAAGATCAGGCTTCCTGCTCCTGTGAAGATTCAGAGCCTCGGAAACCCAGGGGGGGCAATTCTATCCTGTCCTTTAAGGGCTGTGAGTCAGAATTGGCTCGAGGGCGCTTAGGAGGACTTCCCCAGGGGTTTTCATGACCATGACCTTTCTGAAGCAGTCAGCAGGGCCCGTGCCCCCAGGCGTCTCTGGGCAGGTTTGAACCAGGAATGGGTTCAACCAGTAGTCAGGGGGATTAGTCATTCAGGTGGCCCAGCCAGCTGGCTGGGCAAGTGTCAGCTTGCTCCCCCTGTTGGTCAGCTCAGTCCAGCATGCAAAGGATGTGGTGGGGGCACATGGACTTCGGACCTGCCATTGCCGTGTGTCATTGAGTGGATTCCAGCTCATAACAGCCCTCTGCAGTTAGCAGTGCTGCCCCCGTTAGGGTTCCTAGGCTGGAGCCCTGGGGTCACAGGGCAGCGGTTCTGAACAAAAATACTTTTGTGGTCGGGGTTTGTGGTCACCCCCACTCGAGGAACTATTCAAGGGTCGCGGCATGAGGAAGGGCGAGAACCACTGGCCCAGTGGGCTAACGCGTGGGGCTGTTCACCCCAAGGTCAGCAGTGAAAGCACTCTGTTCCCACAGAGTGACAGTGCCACTCTGCCCTGTAGGGTCAAGGAGCAGAGTGGACACACTGCCCATGGGTTTCCTTTGGGGTTATCTCAGCGGCGGCCCGCTGGCTGTCAGGTGGTTTCTTTTTGGGGGGGCGGGGGTTCAAACTGCTGGCCTTTCGGAAGGCTTCTCACCGGCCCCTCTCTGCACCCCCAACAGTGCCGCAGTGAAGATGACCTCTCTGCTCGTCCCCCTCCCGGAGTTTCCATAAAGAACACAAGTCAAGGTTCTTGTCTGGACGCTCACCTTTGTGTGTTCTTCAGCTCATGGTCCAGGTGGCCATGTTGGGGGTTGGTGATGGGGTGGGGGGCACCTGGTGGGCACGGCAACCCCAAGAAGGCGGCCAGGATGGAACCGAGGGCAGGGAGCCGGCCATCGCGAGGCTGGTCCTTTAGCGAGGCGCCCGTGTATTGCGGGAGCCATCCTGAGACGCCTCCTTTAGGGAGGCCACCGAGTCGCCTGGGCCACTCCGGCCAGGCGCAGATGACCGCAGGCCGTGTTGGGGCAGCCGGACGGGGAAAAGGGACCCTCGTGAGGTAGCTGTGTTGGAATGGTCGCCCCAAGTACATGGTGGGGCTGCTCCGGGGCGGGGGAGGGGGGGTGCGTGTGTGTGGTGGTGACGGGGAGTTACTTCAGCGAGGTGGCCATGTTGGATGGGGATGGCAGGGGCACGGCTCACTGAGCTGGGCGCTGGGTGGTAAGCGGCTGGTCTTTATTAACTTGGATACTTTGGCCGGCTCTGAGGGAGGACATGTTAGAGCTCTGGTCCTTCGATGACCCCCGACGATGTGGGGACAGTCAGAGCCCCCAGAGTTCTGAGACCTGGGGGTCGAGTCTGGCCTCCACAGCCGGCGTCTGGGTAGGAGAGAGTGCGGTTCAGACAGAGGCCTCCGTCTGTGGACGCTTCTGCCCTGTGCGGGCAGCGAGGGGGCTCTGAGCTTACTGGGAAGGCGAGGAGAGGGGTGCTGGAAAAGATGAGGCCACCGAGGGTCTGGTGCCTGCCATTCCTCACCAAGGAGGGCCAACCCCTCCCCAAGGCCCTACAGGGAACTAGGGCCGCAGGCCTGGTGGACTACACTCGAGGGCCAGGGCAGTCCCTCCCCAGTCTCCCCAGCCCATGGAGAGAGGCTATCAGAGGGCTCTGGTATGGAAAGTAGAGCCACTTCAGCCAGGGGGACCAAGGCCCCAGTGACCCTGTTTTGTCAAATCGGACTGCCTTTCTACTCTGGTTTGACCCCCTTCAAGGAAGGACCTAGGAGTTCAGGCCCGGCCCCACCCCCCACCCCCACTTAGACTGGCCAGCCTCAGCTCTGAGGTCCTCCCTCAGACCCAGAAGCCCAGAACCCCCAGTCGTCCTCCCTCAGATCCAGGGGCCCAGGACCCCATCCTCTCTCCTCCCTCTGACCCAGGAGTCCAGCCCCTCCCCTCTCAGACCCAAGAGTCCAGGCCTCTCTCCGCTCCCTCCCACCGCCCTCGGACCACCCACCGGCCCGCCCGCACCGCCCTCCAATCTCCTAGTCCGGCCTGATTCCTCCTTGCTCTCACCTGTTCCCCCTCCTCTCCGGCCTTCACCAGCTCCTCCTCGTCCTCGTCCCCCTCCTCCCCTGCGTCACTGTCGTCCTCCTCGTCCTCGTAGTCGTAGTCGTCGTCCGGAGCGTCCTCGTGGAAGAAGGGCACGGCCCCCTGCGCCGAGTGGAAGCGCAGGCGGTAGAGCAGCCGCACCCACTGGCCGAACTCCCGGTCGCGGGTCTCGGGCGCGGCCCGCAGCTGCAGGTAGAAGGTGCGGCCCGTGGGGAACTTGACCTTGAGCTGCCGGCGGCACTCGTCGTGCACGAAGAGCTGGACGAACTGCAAGGGGAACAGCCTGGGCCGAGGGTGGGCGGGCGGGGTGCCGTCAGCGCCCAGCCTCCCGGAGCCCCGACTTCCCGCCCCGCCCGGCCCTCTGCCCTGGGAGGAACCCCCTTCCCGCGGCCTCCTGGATCTCAGTGCACGCTGCTCTTCCGGCCAAACGCACAGACTGAGAGCCCCGTGGCACAGAAGGTGAGATCTTTCAACTCCCCTAAGGAGTTACAGTGTCAGAAGCCCACGGCGGGCAGTTCACCCCTCCCCTGGCCTCAAGGGTCACTATGCGTTAGAACCATAACTCATAACTCAAGGTTTTTGGGTTTTTTGGACAGTTTAACAATGTAGTAAGATTCCTTTTAAGGAGCCCCCAGGTGATGCGGTAGGCATTGGGTGGCTGACTGCAGGATGGGCACCCTCCACTCCGCAGAGGACGGGGCATTCAGCCCCGTCAAGATGTAAATGCTCTAGGTTCCTACCGCTCTTGTCGGAAACAACAAAACAAACAAACAAACAAGCGCCCCACCCCCAGGCTGTGAAACAGCTTTGAAGCGTAGCCCATGATCCAGGACAAAGTGTAGGTGTCTGTCTGCTTTGGTGGGCGCCTCCCTGGTGCAGTGGGTCCCCGTTGGACAGTTAACGGCAGAGGCAGCAGTTCGAAACCACCAGCCACTCCTTCAGGGAAAGACGAGGCTCTTCCATTATAAAGACCGACAGGGACAGTTCTACTTGGTGCTGTGGGGTCGCTGGGTGGGAATCGACTCCCTGGCTTTGAGTGGAGTTGTTCATCTGCTTTTGCAGCCCCCCCATCCTGACAGCACCACCCACCCCCCAGCGGGGCGGTACCACCCACGACGACAAACACTGTATAGCGTATATAGGGCCACAACCCACGGGATGGTAGTGGGTTTGGGGGCTCGGGAAGAGTCCTCTAAGGTACAATGGTGGCACAAAGGTTAAGCGCCCAGCTGCTAACCCAAGGGTGGACGTCCCAACCCACCCAGAGGCGATACGGGAGAACCGTCTGGTAATCTCCTCCCTTAGAGACCGGACTTGGCTCTCTCCTCCCTGTGGCTCCTGCTGGCCCTCCCGCCCTCCCAGACTCCGGGACATGCGACTCTGCGCGCGGACGGTCCACCCTTGGACACCACGCCCACGGGTGCAGGCCGTGACTATGCGGGACCGAGCACAGCCCCTCTATAGGGTCTCCAAGGCTGCGACTGGGGGGCGGGGCACGGACACACCCCTCTTCTGCGGAGCGTCGGCAGCCCAGCGCCAGACTGCTCCACCAGGGCTGGCCATCCCAGCGCCTGCCCGGCGCCCGGGAACCACAGGTCCGCAGCTTCCTTGGCCGCTCGCGCCTCCCGAGTCCGCACTCGCTGGCGCCCCGTGTCCCTGCCCTCCCCTCTCCTGTCTGGTCGGGGAACTCGAGGAGGCAGGGGGTGGGCTCCCTCCCCAGGAGCCGCGGTGGTACAGTGGGTAGACCACTGGGGCCGCTGACCACGCTGTCGTCAGGAGTTCGAACCCACCGGGCCCCTCGCAGGGAGCCAGCTGAGGCTGTCTGTTCCCAAAGAGCTCCACAGGCTGCGGGAGCCGCGGGGCCAGCGCTGCCCTGTCCAATAGGGTCACTCTGAGTTGAGATCGACAAGATCTTGTGTGTGTGTGTGTTGGGGTGGGTGGGTCTCTACACACAGCAGATGCTAAAGGAACAAAACCATGAACCCACTGCATTAAGTCCAGCACAGCGCCCCAGAGAACCGAGTCCAACAGCCTTGCAGGGTTTCTGAGGTTCTGCATGCTTCCTTTCTGTTTGTTTTTGGAGTTTTGGTGGCATCTTTTCCTTAAAAAATTTCTTTTTAAGTTCAATTTTTTTTTGAGGCTATACATTCTTATGGAAGCAGACGGCTTCCTTGGTCTGCAGAGCAGCTGGGGGGGTTTGAACCACTGACCTTTCTATTAGCAGCGATGTGCTAGACCCGGGCTCCTGCTCACCGAGGGGTGAATGAGTTCTCGAAGGCAGGAATCTCTCTGGACTCTGGGGTGGCACAGAGCTCCATTCCAGGTCCAGCCAGGCAGATGAGGACACAGGCCAGGTCCCCCCCTCCACTGGGATGCCAGTCCAGGCCATCTGCTCACCTCTAGGGGTGTGTGCCCTTGGACTTCTGCCTGGGGTGTGGTACCCCCTGTGACCCAAAGACACCAGAGACAACCAGCAACTCCATCAAAAAGCCCAGGGAGGGCACAGTACAGCACCCACAAAGCACACAATGTCCCTCTGGTTCCTTGAGGCTTCCTTACCCCCCACAATCATGACCCCAGTCCTGCCTTTCATTGGGGGCTAGACCAGAGCATGTGCACAGGTACAGATAAGAGATAAGAGTTCAGAACACACCGAATCCAGGAACAGAAATGGGAGTAGCAATACCAGGAGGGCAGGAGGGAAGGTGGGGAGAGGGAGGGTGGGGAGGAAGGCGGAACGGATCCAGATGATCGGCACATAACCACACGCACCCCTCCCAGGGGACAAAAGCAGAGCCAGGGGGGAAGGGAGTGTAAGATATGAAAATAATAATTTATAATTTATCAAGAGGCCACAGGGGGGTAAGAGCTGATACCAAGGTCTCAAATAGAAAGTAAATGTTTAGAAAATAATGATGGCAACATATGTACAAATATATTTGCTTGATACAATGGATTTACAGATTGTTATAAGAGCTGTAAGAGCCCCCAATAAAGTGATCTTTAAAAAAAACAAGCACTGGGAGTGGATTCCCACCCATAGCGGCCCTCCAGGTAGGCCTGCCATGGGCTTTCCCAGGCTGCCATTTATCCTGAAGCCGGCTGCCACGTCCCTCTCCCTGGGGGAGACCGACAGGGTTTCCTCTCCTGCAAAGAGCTGCAGCCTCGCAATGGGGAGGGCAGGCGGTTCTACCCTGTCCTAGAGGGTCCCCTCGATAGCAGTGAGTTTGTGAGTGTTTGACTCGGTGGCCGGCACCGATCCCGGCACTTTCTCCAGACCTAACTCAGGAGGTGCACCCTGCCTATGCCCCCATTCCGCAGGGAGGAGAGTAGAGGCCCAAACAGGAAGGACGCTTGACCAGAGTCAGTGAAGGCGAAGCAGGGTCTGAGCCCCTGCCCGTCTGAAGGCGGACACAGCCGCACCTCGCTTTGTTGCGTTTCGCTTGGAACTTTGGGGGCCACATTTTTGTTTTACAAATGGAAGGTTTCTGAGGAGGGTGTAGGAGGCCTGGTAGGGTGTGATCAAGGGTAATATAACAGAGGAATTACTGAAACCCAAATGAAGGCTGAGCATGATAGTGAGACAAGAGGAAAGTAAAAGGAAACAGAGGAAAGAACTAGGAGGCAAAAGGCATTTATAGAGGTCTAAAAGGTATGTGCACATGTAAATATATTTATATATGAGGATGGGGAAATAGACCGATGTGCATATATTTATAGGTTTAGTATTAAGGTAGCAGATGGACATTGGGTCTCTACTCAAATACTCCCTTAATGCAAGAATACTTTGTTCTATTAAACTGGCATTCATGATGCTCACCTTCCCAACACAATCACTGAAGACAAAGCAGATGAATAAGCAAATGTGGTGAAGAAAGCTGATGGTGCCCAGCTCTCAAAAGATATAGCGTCTGGGGTCTT